GATGGCGGGCTTGGTGATGCCCTGGATGTTATCACGGAGAACTTTCCGGTGACGCTTAGCGCCTCCTTTTCCGAGCCCCTTTCCTCCCTTACCACGTCCACTCATGTTGATACTTTAGGTATTGGTTCAGTACAGACTGATGAATACTGGGCTGTCAACGCTCGTACTTACAGACTAGATGAGGACGTATTTGAAGACAGACAGACCCCTCCCTCTGGGACACTACCACCGGAAGATGTTGTGCACAGACTCGTTCAGCAGCTGGAATGGAATTATTAAGAACTACAATCCAAATTTTGCCCACAGCAATTAGAATTTTCAGATCCAATTATATATATATGTAACCAATAAATAGTGAGTTTCAAATGACATCGATGATTTAACCTGCCTTATGCAGTCCTACAAAGGTTTTGTATTTGTTTTAGTATTCATGGGTGGGGTCGATCCGAGCCTAGTAATCTTATGTTAACACACAGAACAGACTCATTGAAATAAAGAAAATAACCAGAGAAACAACTGGGACAACCAACAATTAACACATTAACATTATGCAAGGTCAGTTATAAAAACAAAAGGGGGTCTTAAGGGGGAGTTAATTTAGTAACAAAGTGAAAGAATATTGTATGAGAATTGTTTGGCCTTACAGAAACCATGAAACAAGTAAATTTGGGCTGTTAATTTAGATATTTATAGGAAGGGAAAGGACTTATATATGGCATGATATATGATATTTTGAAGGAACTCATTGAAATAGATAAAAAAGAACTACCAGAGAAACAACAGGGACACATTCACATGTTCAGTTATAAATACAAAAGTGTCTGTAAATAAAGTGGGGCCTTGAATGGAATTCATGTTGTAACATTGGACAGTCAAAGAAAACTGTATGAGAATTATATAGCCAATGTTTACAGTAGTTTTGGGCTATTCATTTGATTAAGGTTTTAGAGGGGACTTATGTTTGGTGTATTTTCCACATCATTTGAAGGAACATTTTCTCTGAGATTTTGTTGGTGGCTCTTAAAAGAGCCGTTTGGTGGCTGGGGCTGAGGGTCCAGCTTTACTTGGCCTTGGCGGGCTTCTCGGTCTTCTTGGGCAG